GGTAGGGGAACTAAGATCCCACATGCCATGTGGCATGACCAAAGAAAAAAGAGAAAATTAGGTAGTGTAGAATCTGAGAGGTATAAAAGGCATGCTATGAACAATCCCTCCCTCCTTTTCTCCTAGACTCTTTCCTGGAGAAACCAATGTTACCCACTTATCAAGTGCACTCTTAGAGATCTTTTATGCATATGCAAGCCAACACACACAAACATTCTACCCCTTCTTACACAAATGGTAGCACTCACAATACTGTTCTGAGCTTTGGTCTAGATTTCTCTGTTTTCAACCTTACCTAGATGGATTTCATTTACTTTTGTGTCCACATGTACCCCCAAGCCTATAATCTTTCATTTTACTCTCTTTTATATTTTTATTTTTTAAAACTTTATTTATTTGGCTGTGCCAGGTCTTAGTTGTGACATGCAATATCTTTGATCTTTAGTTGTGGCATGTGGGATCTAGTTGCCTGACCAGAGATCGAACCCAGGCTCCATGCTTTGCGAGCAGGGAGTCTTAGCCACTGGTCCACCAGCAAAGTCCCTCATTTTACACTCTCTTTTAGTCTTCCATTTATTAGTCAAGTTTCAAGCTCCTGAGGGCGGGTATCAAGTCTTTGACTTTTGTGTTTTCTAGCACCTAGAACATAGTAGGTGCTCAACGAGTGGGTGTGGAATAACTGCGTGGTTCTACTTTATAGGCTTACTATGGGCCAGGCATTGTGTGTTGAGTACACACTATGTCATGTACAAATGAATAAACAAGATAATGAATGGACAGCCCTGGGCATCTAGCATAAGGAAGAGGCCGGGCTAGGCACAGACCTGACTTCCCTGGAGGTCCTGAAGCTCTGCTGGTCTCTCTGCTGACCACTCCAGGCAAGGACATCCTGTGGGCGATATATTCCAGACAATGCTGTCCTTAGGGGCCCTTCACAGGAATAAAACCAGGGGGAAGGGCTCCTCAGACTGTTTGAGAGGTGGAGAGAAAAGTTCTCCCCTCAGATATTGGGACTGGAAACGGAAGGAAATGTGGGGCAGGGGGTGGGGTTGTCTCAGTGAAGCTGAGCTAGTAGAGGAAGGAAGAGGGGATGGCGGTGGGTTCAGAACCATTAGTGAGTACTTGTGATAGCAACTTAGTAGATAGTGATCAGTTAAAAAAACAAAAACCACAGAAAATATGAGTGTACTTTTACATGGAATAAAGGTAAATATTGTTTCTCAAACTTCTATTTCAGCTTCGTGTATGTGTGAACTGGTTGGCAATATAAAACACCTTACTGAGCATCTTGGTACAAACAGAAAAATGGTGAAAGTCGCCAAAGAAGTGATGAGATAGACCCTGGTGAATAAGTCCTGAGTGGGCTCAAGGATTCACAGCAGAATCAAACCTCAGGGTGGAGGCAGGGTACCTCTATCTCAGGGCAGGATCATCCTACACCCCTGAGACAAAGACCTTGAGCTCCCTGATTCCAGGCTTCCAGGCACCAAAAGCTCAAAATTTCTCAAGCCTGTTCCATTGATGGACAGCTCAGATTGTTAAAAAGTTCTTCCCATTTGTCCCTTTAACTTCCACCCGTGAGTGCTCATTCTCTGCCTCTGTTACAACCAAGACTAGGAATAACTAGGCAAATAAACTGACAACTGACAAGTGTCCTGTAAATTTTATTTTCCTTCCCATAATGAGCATTTATTCTTTTCTCAAGAGTCTGAGTTTTTATTATTCTGGTTATCTGTCTAGCAGTTATCATTACTAAATCTATCGTGGATGGGACACAGAGAAAAGAGCTTTTTGCTTACGATTTTACTAACTCTCACAGCACTGCTAGGTAAAAGGTACTGTTATTATCCTTTTACAGATGAGGCACAGAATATTGTTTCCAGCTTTATTGAGATATAATTGAAATATAACAATGTATAAGTTTTAGGTGTACAACAGTAATGATTTTATACATTATATACTGCCAGATGATTACCACAATAATTTAGTTAACACATTTACCACCACACAGAGTTACCATTTCAGAGCATTTAAACTTCTTACCCAAATGCAATCACGCAGTTAGCAGCAGGATGAAATTTATCAGTGCTTTTGTGTGATCCCTAGAATCAAACCCGATCCTCTGAATGTGGTTCAGATGGTTCAGAACCGAGAGAGGAGCTTTATCCTGACTCCCTCTCTGAGGACAAACTTTGTTGTGGTTTTGTTTTGTGTGTGTGGACAAAATTTGATCTCAGATTCCTCATCTATGACCAGGGCAGAAACATGTCTCTAGGCAGGTACTTTTTGACTTTTTTGTTTATTGTCTTGTTTTTTTTTAGTTCTACCACTTTATTGCTACCAACCCATCTCCCTTCACCCTTGTGCACACATGCTCAGTCATATAATCCCATGGACTTCAGCCCGCCAGACTCCTCTGTCCATGGACTTTTACAGGCAAGAATACTGGAGTATTGTCTTGTTTTTTAATCTATTTTATTGAAGTACAGTTGATTTACAATGTTAATTTCTGCTGTATAGCAAAGTGATTTAGTTACACACATATATACTAATACATTCTTTTTCATATTATTTTCCACTATGGTTTATCACAGGACACATTTTTAAAAATAATTTTATTTATCTTTGGCTGTGCTTTGGTCTTTATCTTTGGTCTTCATTGCTGCACAGGCTTTTCTCTAGTTGCTGCAAGTGGGAGCTACTGTCTAGGTGCACTGTGTGGGCTGCTCATTGTGGTGGCCTCTCTTGTTGAGGTGGCGTGTGGTCTCAGTAGTTGCTGTTCTGGGGCTCTAGAGTTAAAGGCTCAATAGCTGTGCCACACAGGCTTAGTTGCTCCACGGCATATGGGATCTTCCCAGATCAGGGATCAAACCCATATCTCCTGCATTGGCAGGAGGATTCTTGACCACTGAGCCACCAGGGAAGCCCCTATCACAGAATATTGACTATAGGTCCCTGTGCTATACAGTAGGACTTTGTTGTTTATCACTTTTTGACTTTTTATTTTATTTTTTTAGTTCTACCAGTTTATTGCTACCGACCCATCTCCAACCTCGTGCACACATGCTCAGTCATGTAATCCCATCGACTTCAGCCCACCAGACTCCTCTGTCGATGGATTTTTCCAGGCAAGAATACTGCAGTGGGTTACCATTTCCTTCTCGAACTTTTTTACTTTTTAAACTGAGAAATATAACACAGGTTCAGAATAGTGCATACAACATAATGTGCCTATTAACAAAAATTTGTAAGTGAACAATTTATGTAACTTCCACCCAAGGACAAAAAATAACAATAGTATCAGTACCCCTGGAAGACCACAGCCCTCTCTCTTCCCCAAAATATTCCATACCCTCACTTACATGTGAATTACCTCTTTGCTTTGCTGGATAATTTTACTATTTAAGTTTGCAGCTCTAGACAATAAAAAAGTTTTCCTATTTAGAAATTTTAAACAAATGGAATAATTCATTATTTACCCTTTCCTACCTATCTGCTTTTGTAGCATGGAGTTGTCCATTTGTTTTGTTGCTGTGTGATGTGTGGCCTTACTGCAAATTATTCATCCATTCTACTGTAGGTGGACATTTGAGTTCCAATTTTTGGCTATTATGTTGACAAAAACACTCTTACACATGTCTCTAAGTGCACAGAAGCAAACATTTCTGTGGCTATATGTTGTTGTTCAGTCACTAAGTGGTGTATGATTCTTTGTTACCCCATGGACTGCAGCATGCTATACTTCCATGTCCTTCACCATCTCCTGGAGTTTGCTCAAACTCATGTCCATTGAGTCAGTGATGCCATCCTACCATCTCATTCTCTGTCGTCCCCTTCTCCTCCTGCCCTCAATCTTTCCCAGCATCAGGGACTTTTCCAATGACTTGGCTCTTCGTATCAAGTATTGGGAGTTTCAGCTTCAGCATCAGTCCTTCCAATGAACATTCAAGGTTGATTTCCTTTAGGATTGATTGATTTGATCTTGCTGTCCAAGGGACTCTCAAGAGTCTTCTCCAGCATCACTATTTGAAAGCATCGATTCTTCCATGTTCAGCCTTCTTTATGGGCCAACTCTCACATCCATAGATGACTACAGGAAAAACCATAGCTTTGACTATACAGACCTTTGTAGGCAAAGTGATGTCTGCATTTTAATACGCTGTCTTGGAATAAATACACTGTCTAGGCCTTCCCTGGTGGCACAGATGGTAAAGAATCCACCTGCAAATTGGGAGACCTGGGTTCGATGCCTGGGTTGGGAAGATCCCCTGGAGACGGGAACAGCTTCCCACTCTAGTATTCTTGCCTGGAGAATTCTATGAACAGAAGACCCTGCAAGGCTAGAGTTCATGCGGTCACAAAGAGTTGGACACGACTGAGAGACCTTCATTTCTTTCAGGAGTAGAATTGGGCTTCCCAGGTGGCACTAGTGATAAAGAACTCGCCTGCCAATGCAGGAGACGTAAGAGACTCAGGTTTGATCCCTGGGTTGGGAAGATCCCCTGGTGTAACACATGCCAGTATCCTTACCTGAAGAATCCCACAGACTGAGGAGCCCCCTGAGGTGGCTACAGTCCATAGGGTCACAAAGAATCAGACACAACTGAAGCGACTTAACACACACACACAAGTAAAATTGCCAGATTATAGGGTATGATATCTTCAACTTCTCACCAACTTACTCGTCTGAGAATTCACAGTATTCCATAATCTCAGTTAACATTCAGCATGTGCTGTATGCTTAGTTGCTCAGTCATGTCCAACTTCCGGCAAGAATACTGGAGTGGGTTGCCATGCCCTCCTCCAGGGCATCTTCCCAACCCAGTGATCGAACTCTGGTCTCCTGCATTGCAGGCAGCAGATTCTTTGCCACTTAGCCACCAGGGAAACCCAGCATTCAGCATAGTCAATCTGGTAGGTGTGTAATAGTATCTCACTGGGCTTTTAATTTGCATTTTCTTGATGATTGATGTGTTCCATCTTCTCATATGTATCGATTATTTTGGATTTCTTTTTTTTTTTTTTAATGAAGTGCCAGTTCAAGTCTTTGTAATTTTCCATTAGGTTTCTTTTTTTCTTATTGAATTTTAGGAGTTTTTAATATACTCTAGATACAAATTGTCAGTTATGCATTACAAATATATTTTCCTTTTCTATGGCTTAATTTTTCACTTCCTTATTGGGGTCTTTTGATAAGAACATAGAATATCATATTAATATGGTGACATATATCAAGATTTTAGAATCTTTTGTGTCTTAAGAAGACTTTCTCTACCCTGAGGTCATGAAGATATTCCCCTGCGTTGTATTCCAAAACTTTTATTGCTTTTTTTCCACATTAAAGTCTATAATTCATCTAGAATGTATTGCTGTGTTATTGTAAACTGGGAGGAATTTGATTTCATATTTTTCCATATGGACACTCAATGACCCCAGAATAATTTATTGAAAAAAGGCCCTTTTCCCAGCGCTCTGTTGTACTATATTTATCATAGATCACTGTCCAAGTACGTTCGCATCTGTATCTGGGCTCTCTATTCTCTCCTACTCGTATGTCTTTCTCTGCCCTAGTACCACAGTCTTAATTCCTACAGCTTAAGAGTTGATAATAAACTTTAATATTTGATAGTGCAGATCCTCCCACCTCGCATGCCTAGGTATTTTTGAAGCTGGGATCGCCCATACACACAAATCCATTCAAATGTTTAAGCAGTGTGTGGGGTGGGTTGGGGAGGAAGGGTGCTCAGGATGACAGAAGAGCAGAGCGAGTATTCTGTTTCCATGGCATTCTCCCAAGGCGCGGGACCACAGAATCACAGTGCCAGTCACCCTGTATGGAGAACACAAATGCGTCAGCGGGCTCCCTCGTCACTCATTCCTGAGAGACAGACAGCTCTTAAAACCCGATACCAACCCAGAAGACAACACTCCATTCGCTTCTCTTCGCGGCTATCCCAGAGGTACAACCTTTCCTGCAAATCACGTGAGCGTGCTCAGCACCCAAATACCGACCCTGGACAAATTCGCCAAAAGAGATTCGCTCAACCTTGTGGGTGAATCCCACGGAGATTCCTATCGTCTGCTCGAGAGAAACAGCCCATCGATACGACGAGAAACCGCCGGCAGATAGCCTGACCGGCAGAAACGGACTGAGGAACGGATTCCTTGACTAAGGGATTTTTTTTTTTTTTTTTTCCGACCGAAAGACAAACAACCTCGAAGTCGGCCGTCCGTGCGGCGGACAATCCAGACAGACACATTTCAGTATCAGACCTACTTCCGGGCGGAGCGATCCCCAAACACACGCCGATTATTCCCTCACCCTCGGCTCGCGCGGGCCATTTAGTTCCCAGCTATCAGAGCAGAATGTTTGGCACGTCAGCCAATGGGAAGAAGGATTCCAGGCAGCTTGCGCGGGCAGGGGGCGTCTCCTAGACCCGAAGCCTGCTGCCGCTCCCCGCCGGAAGCAGGATGCTGGAGACCCTCCGGGCGCTTTTGGCAGTCCTTACGGGGTAAAGCCCCGCTCCGAGTACCACAGACACGCTTACTTTTCCGCCCGGGCTCTTGCGCATGCGTGCGGCAACCTTCAAGCCGACCCTGAAAAGAACGCATCCTGAGAAAGACCGAGGGAGCCTAAACCACGGTCCGATAGGTCACTGGTGAGAAGGCACAGCACGAGATAGCCACTGCCGCCGGAGGCCTCCAAAATAGGAATTGTAGAACCAAAAGGTTTGGTGAGGTCCCACCGAGATTTGAACTCGGATCGCTGGATTCAAAGTCCAGAGTGCTAACCATTACACCATGGGACCTGCTGGCTGCTTTAGGCGACCGGGAGTCTTCTCAAGCCACATAGCGGGCGCGTGAGTCTGCCTTTGGAAAGCAGTATTAGATGCCCAGTGTCCGCCGGCGCTGAACTGTGGACTCTGGGCCCCGAGCCGCAGGAGCGGGCCAAAGCGGAGCGGCGAGGGCTTCTGCATCCCCGGCGTCCCATACATTTCCAGTCCCGGGGTGTCATTGCTTGTCGCCTGGTCCTCACCGAGTTTGGGGAAGCACGGAATGCGGCAGGCTGACGGGATCGGTCTTAGCAATGCTGGACCTGAGAGGGCCGGCTCTGACCTCCAGCTCACGAGCAGGAGGCTCGGCGCTCCCATTCTGGGCTTCGTATTGTTTGTTTATTTATTTACGCAAAAGGTGCTCTGGATAGGTTATCTTGGCGGAGCCGGGAGGGAAGCCGACTGGCACGTGGGGCGATTGCGGTTCAAGGCCCTGGTGCCCCGAGCGCGAATCGCTGCCAGGAAGTGCGCCGCACCTGATTCCTTGGCGTTCCACGCGGCTAGAGCGCCAAGAAATTAGTACAGAACGTCTCATTTCCACTTCCCTCTCTTGGTGGATGGTTCCTTCTAACAAAATTAGAAGCAGATCAGTGAAAGACAGTCGATTTTGGACTTTCTTATAAGTTTTAGTTAAGGTGTAAATGGATAGTGTCTCCTAAGGTCGATCTGGCGACAGATAATTTTATAGGCCATTTGCTCAGCAGTTTCACTTTTTGAACTTTATGCTTAGGGACCACTAGGATGAGTGACAGTTGGTCAAGAATGTTCTCAGCTGTGTGGTTTATAATAATAAAGAATAAAAATAAATGTCCATCGTGTGAAAATTGATTAAATAAATGTTGACAATATCTATACAATACATACTGTGCAAGAATTTAGGGGAAAAATTATTGTATTGGCATGAAAAGATACACTGTCCTAAACAAACCAAAACAAAAATCTACTTACCAATTCGTGTGTGTAATAAAATCTCACACACAAACAGAAAAGCTGAATGCATACAGATACAATGAATATTTGCCCTGGGTCGTATGATTTCTTGAGGGATTCAACACTGTATGGGACTGGCTGACAGCAGAACTGTGAGACATACTCACTCTCCAGGCTCCTGGCTGCCAGACTGAAAGTGTGTGTCCTTACCCTGGGCAACTGGACTTAAAATCCAGAAGCAGGAACATTTTAGAACTTAGCTGGCTGCTGGTGGTGGCTGTGACACCGGGTCTCAGAGGCAGTGATGGCAGCCATGCCGTATCCACTGGCAGCAGACGCGGCATCCTTCGTAGATTGTCCAGGATCCTGACTTTGGCAGGTTCCTGGTTGCCTAGTTTCCCTTCATTCTTGCCCATCTTTCTGAGTTTGCTTTCCCTCTGCTGTTATGAACTATGTAAGGTCCTCCTAATAAGCCCCTTTTCTATGTAAGGTACCTAGAGTCCTTTTCTGTTACATATAGTCAAGAACCTGCTTAGTCCAAATCCAAAAAGATCTGCTGATGACAGTTATCTCCTGGGAATAAATTTATGAAGGCCTTTCCTTTTCTTTTTTTTTTTCTTTGCATATAACTCTATATATTGTTAGAAGAAACATCAATGATGTTCCTTTTTGAAGAAATAACCAAATTCCCCTTGAGTTTCTATGGTGAGATAAGGGTATCCCTCTCTCGAGGCTGGAGTGACATATCAACTTGACTTAACATCAAATGACTTGGGCAGCTCTGGACCTCAGCCTTCCTGTCTAGTTTCTTCTTGCAAGGGTTCAGTACAGGCTAAAGTGTATTGCAATTAATTTTTCAAAAGCTCTGGCAGAAACTACTAAAGGGTGATGATTATATCCTTTGAAAGTATATGCATAGTTCCTCTCTCCAGTGTGAAGGAGAAGGATTCACTGCTCTCCTATTCCCACTTCTCCCTACTCTAGTCCCTAGTTCTTCTTTTGCAATTCCCTCCACCTTCTTTCTCAGCTTGAACAAAACCTTACCAGCCCTACTTTCTCATTTCCCGAGGGATGTAAAAGAATCACCTCTCTTACAACCTTTGTCATGACTCATTGGAATTATAAGAAACTGTGTTCTGCGGCTCAGTCTCTCCCATCTTCCCTCCCTCTCCTCCTTGGTCGGGCTATGAATTCCTTGGGACTTGCTTATCTTTGAGCGTGGCTAGTGTCTTAACAGACATATTCCCTGAACCCCATTAGAGGGCACAGGGGAACCTAGGAAGAAGAAACAACAATCTAGTTTTGTGTTCAGAGACCCTTTAGCATCACACATACATACACACTATATATATTTTTAAAATATATTTATTTTTAAAATACATGTATATTTAAAATATTATACACTTACATATATATATAAAGGATAACAGAGACAACATGTAATCTCCCTGGCCCAGTATAACTAGCTTCTTTTAACCTGCTGTGTGTGACATCCTAAATATGGCATCTCATGGCATCTTTGAGGATAGACTCTCAAGACTCCACAAGGTGGCTCCTGAGCTAGGGGAGTTCAGGGCTTTGCTGGAGGTGGGGTTAGCGTAGCTTCAGCTGTGGCACCTGTGACTGAGGGCTGAACTGGGGCAGACTGTACCCCAGAAAGTACAATGAGGCCAGGGTTTAAGAAAACAGGGGTGAAGTCCAGGATTAGGAATTTTAAAGATACTCTCCCATCTCTTATGAGCCTGTAAGTGAACAGACCATGGAGTAGGGACAATAATGCTTTGAGTGGTCAAGGTGGAAAGTGTTCATATTCACTCTCAAGGCTATGTTCAGTCCGTTTCCTGTAACCATGCTCAGATGCTCACAGTTAACTGGGATAGAATGAGCCTTGCTCTTTTTTCCTGGCCACCCAGGATAGGTGAGATCTGCCACAAATCACTATCTTGCCTTGCGAACCCTGATTATGCCAGGGAAGCCACCGGTGCCGACTTGTGCAGGGTGACATGCCCTGAGTCGCCACTGGCCACATCCCAACCCGTCCTGTCCAGCCCCCTGCTCTGAGCCTGGCATTCCCCAGGCTCTGATGAGGAAATCTGAGCCACTTCATTTTTTCCGGCTGCCCTGGGTCTTCATTGCTGCATGCTGGCTTTCTCTAGTTGCAGCAAATGAGGGTACTCTCTAGTTGTGGTGTGCGGACTTCTTTTTGTGGTGGCCTTTATTGCGCTAGGGCACGCGGGCTTCAGTAGTTGTGGTCCCCTGGCTCTAGAGTGCAAGCGCAGAAGTGGTGGTACATGGGCTTAGTCACTCTGTGGCTTGTGGGATCTTCCCAGATCAGGGATCGAATACGTGTATCTTGCTTTGGCAGGTGGATTCCTCACCACTGAGCCGCCAGGGAAGCCCTCCACCTCACTTTTTAAAAATCATTTTATTGAGATATTATTTATGTTAAGGAAAATGCACATACCTTAACTGAAGAAATTGATTATGTTTTACAAATGTATACATTTGTGTGATCACCAACTAGATCAAGCTATAGGGCATTTCCATCACTCCAGAAAGTTCTCTGATCCTTTTTTCCAGTCTTTACTGAAATCACTACTCTGGTTTCTATTACCAGAAATTAGTTTTGCCTATTATTATAGTATACATATACTGTTTTGCAGTATCTTTTGTGTCTGGCTTCCCTGGTGGCTCAGAGAGTAAAGAATCTGCATACAACGCAGGAGACCAGGGTTCAATCCCTGGGTTGGGAAGACCCTGGAGAAGGAAATGGCAACCCACTCCAGTATTCTTGCCTGGAGAATCCCATGGATAGAGGAACCTGGCAGGCTACAGTCCATGGGGTCACAAAGAGTCAGACACGACTGTGCGACTACCACTTCACTTCACTTCTTTTGCTGAACATTTTTTCAAGATTCATCCATGTCATTTTATATACTAGCAGTATGATTTTCAGTGCTGAGTATTCCATTCTATGAATATACCAGTTTGTTCATTCATTTTTCAGTTGATGGACATTTCGGTTGTTTCCAGTTTGAAAATAATGTATCTGGATCCTTTGTCAAATATTTATACTGAAGATATTTTTCTTCCAGTCTATGGCTTGTCTTCTACTTTCTTAATAATGTCTTTTCAGGAAATTTCTGGTGGTCCAGTGGTTAAGACTCCACCTTGTCACTGCTGAATGCCTGGGTTTGATCCCTGGTCAAGGAACTAAGATCCCATAAGCCACACAACCAAGGAAAAATAGTGTCTTTTGTTTAGCAGAAGGTTTTAGTTTCAATCAAGTCAAAATTATTCTTTTTATTAGTACCTGTGTTCTTATATGCAGAGATCAGGGATATTTCCAAGCACATGGGATAGAGGGGCTTGTGCAGTTATACAGACTACTCAATTACATAATGAAAACTTTGATAATACCTTGGTAAAATTTAAAGAAGTTTCAGGGATATAGGTTTTATATAGCAGACTTATCTGAAGCTGGAACAGGGAGGCTGAAGGACAGAAAGGTGGTTGAAGCATCCAGACAAAGGATTAAGAAAAAGAGCTGTGTATAGACAAAAACACTGTGAAGGACATTAGGTGTAGGTTTGAGCAGAAAAACTGGGGTAGACAGCAGTGACTTCCTTGGAAGCTGATCCTGAAACTGTTGCTGGGGTCTGGAACACAGACTATGGGCCTAGCAAGACTGTAGGATATCAATGTCAATATCAACATCAATATCAATAATGGCAAATGGTAGAAAAAAACAGGATGTTGGCATGTGTTGGTGATTTCATGCCATCTTCATGATGGTCCTACGATACAGAGGCGTTTTAGGCTGAGGCAGCGTGTTTTAAAGCAGGTATACTATGGCTTTGCTAAGAGTGGCTTGCAATCCAGGTTTACTGGATGTCCTGTAATGTGGAGCCTTTAGGACTAGAAAAGCTAAAATCTACACCCCAGGAGAAAGCACCAGCAGAGACAGAAGACTTAGCAGGAGCCCCACTGGAGCAAAGCCTAGCCTACTACACTGCAATGCTTTAAACATTTTCTACCCATGAAGAGGAAAAACCTGGGGGTGAAGAGATTATCGACAGTCTCTGTACCTTAGATGACTGTAACTTAGATGATAGCATCACGGCAAAGGCCAGGTGTGGAGACCCGTGGTTACCAGAATGGATTTCCCAGTTTCCAAGACTATGTCTAGACAAGACGTCTGGATTGAAATAAAAGAAAGGAATTTCCAATGAGATCTCATTGGCAATCGCTTCCTTAAAAATCTGATTAAAAAAAAATCTGACTGATAACAGCTCATGTGTTTTAACTCCTGCGGCCAATCCTGGGCTTGTGAACAGCACTAGCAGGAAGTAGGCAGTTATGGCTGTGGAGGCCTCAGGAAGGTCACCCTGCCCAATGCTCACTCAGATGGGGAACAGGAATGTAATGGACAAGGCGACTTCTCTTAGAAGAACCTGGATTGTTCTGGGCGGTGCTAGGTGGGCTAAGCAAGGTGCCCCTCCACTGCCAGGGCTTGGAATCCCTAATGCCTATTCCTGTCAATGACAGGAAACCTGTGGTCTGCTCCACCTCTGGGCTTCAAACTATATATGAGACAGTTTAAGACAGTTTGGGTCAAGCTTCTGGTACATGCAGACAAATGCATTCTCACAGATCCCCTTTATAGTCGCTTGTACATATTGTTGGTCAATTGATAATCAAAAAACAGTTGGGGAGATACCTTCCTGAGTCAGGGAGAGTATCCAGAAGGAGGCAAACCCCCGTCCCATTTCTTTTTTTTTTTTTTTAGTTGGAGGCTAATTACAAATATTGCAGTGGTTTTTGTCATACA